AACTCCCTTCCCTCACTCCCCCATCAGCCCCTCTCCTCCCTAACCTCCGACCTCTGACCCCCCTGATCTGCCCCCTCCCTCACACCTGATCCCGGTCCCTGTAATGTGTGTCGCGGGGACCCCGCTGTGGGGGGCAGCAAGTGACTCCTCCTCTCTCTCCCCACAGGGCTCCCCTGGCGAGAGAGGCGGCCCTGGGCAGGGCGGCCCCATCGGACCCCCAGGCAGACCGGGCCCCCAAGGGCCACCAGGCCCTGCTGGAGAGAAAGGAGTTCCTGTGAGTAGGGGGCACAAAGGGGGGATCAGGGCTGAGTCGGATGCAGGGGGGGCTGGGAGCCAGGACTCCTGGGTTCTATTCTGGCTCTGGGAGAGGAGTGGGGGCTGGTGGGTTAGAGCAGGGGGGGCTGGGATCCAGGACTCCTGGGTTCTGTGCACCTCACTCCCCTCTGTTTCTCCCTAGGGTGAAAAAGGTCCCATAGGCCCCGCTGGCCGCGACGGAGTCCAGGGTCCCGTTGGGCTGCCCGGTCCAGCGGGGCCCCCAGGGGGTGCTGGTGAGGACGGCGACAAGGTAAGGCCCCGTCTGTGTCTGTGTCCTGCCCCCCCACGCGGTGATGGGCTAAAACCCCTTTCTCCTCTCTCCACAGGGCGAGGTGGGCGAGCCGGGCCAGAAGGGTGGCAAAGGCAACAAGGGAGAACATGTGAGTCTGAGCTGGGGGCTCCCCTGACCCCACACTGGGGCTGATCCCCCCCAATTCCTGCCTGGGGTATCTCTGTGTCTCAGCATCCCTGACTCCCGTCTCCTTCCTTCCAGGGTCCCCCAGGCCCCCCAGGTCCCATGGGCTCAGTCGGGCAGCCTGGAGCAGCCGTAAGTACCTTGCCCCCCTCAGACAGCCTCCTGCAGCACAGGGCAGGGGGGCCCTGCGGCTGGTAGCACGGGGCGGTGCCAGCTCTGGGCAGGGCAGGACTACGGAGCTGGGTTGGCTCCATGCAGGGCGGGGGCAATGGAGCTGGGTCGGTTCTGTGCAGGGCCTGGGTGATGGAGCCGGGTTGGTTCCGTGCAGGGCCTGGGTGATGGAGCCGGGTCGGTTCCGGGCAAGGCCTGGGTGATGGAGCCGGGTCAGTTCTGTGCAGGGCCTGGGTGATGGAGCCGGGTCGGTTCCGGGCAAGGCCTGGGTGATGGAGCCGGGTCGGTTCCGTGCAGGGCCTGGGTGATGGAGCCGGGTCGGTTCCGTGCAGGGCCTGGGTGATGGAGCCGGATCAGCTCCATGTGGACAGGGTGGGGGACGTAGCTGAGGGCGATGGAGCCCGGTCTGCTCCGTGCCGGGCGGAGGGTCCCTGACTCCTGGCAGCGCAGTGTCCCGGCCCCTCACTCATGCCATGGGGCGAGGTTTCTGACGGCAAAGAGGCCCCACATCACACTGATGGAGCGTGGGTGGGATTCTGGGGGGTCCCATCAATGGGGAATGGCGGTGGGGGGGTATTCCCGCTGCTCCCACAGTGCCGAGACCTCCCTTCACCCCTACCCCCACCCGCTCAGCGAGTCCCGTCTCCCCGGGGCCGCTCGGGGCCCGTCTCTGACTCTCTCTTGTGTCTGTGTCGAGGGGGCTGATGGGGAGCCGGGCGCTCGGGGCCCCCAGGGCCACTTTGGGT